TGACATTGAGTCTTTCTATAGTGGTTGAACAGGGGTAGCAACCACGCGGGGCTTGAATATCATTCAGGGATATGCCCACCCCCCAAGGTAACCCTAGGCCCTAGACCCTAAACCTTAAACCCTGGCTAGGTAGAGTTTAGTGAAGAGGTTGAGGTTTGGGTTTGGCAGCTGCACCGTTTGGGCCACATGCTGTTCGCACTGTTCAACCCATTTTTGCCTTGGAACCACAGATTGCAACTAAAAAACCTCAACGTATCCCTAAGCATATAGGCTCAAGCCTTCGAAGTCTCCTGTGTATTCCAGAATCCGTGTATGCTCTAGCCATTTCAAGCCCCAAAGTGTCGCCCAAAAATGCACTAGCGTCTAGGGCTTAGGGTAGGCCAGACAGCCAAGACCCCCACCCCACACTTCATGCCCAAAACCCTTTGACCTGTAAACATCCTAGAGCCCTAAAACACTGCTCCAGAATCCAAAGTCCCCAACCCCTGAAGTATACCCCTCAAATAGTAGCAACACCGCCGCTGTTATAGGACGAGCCCTTGTATAAAGGCCTGGTCTGTCTTTGGAGCCTCCAGACAGACCCCCACTACCTTAAACTCTAGATGGTCCAACATATTCTAAGCCTCTAGCCTGTATATGCCCGAAACCCGGATCCTTTTAATCCCTAAGCCCTTTACCCTCTAGACCCTCAGCCGAGAAAACCTCTACTCCCAGCCTACATTGACAAGCCAGAATCCCTGCCAATCAAATGGGAACCACCCCTATCTCTACAGATCCGTATTTACCCTTATAATCCTTACATAAGCCCTAACGCCCTATAAATGGGCCTTTAGCACAAGTCGTCTGTGGCAGTCGGGCGATGTGGCCGCGGTGGAGGAGCTTCTGCGACGAGACGGCGAGCAGCCTGTGGAAGAGGCAAGGTGCACCAAGATTTCAGTGGTTTCGGTGGTCAGAAGGGGAGAGTGAGGGGGGACGTTGCTAGAGGGAGTGGACTATGAAAACGTACAGTTATGTAAGCCCCCGAATACCCAGAGAGATTACTCCAAATAGCCGAGGCGACTAGCCATTGCCGAATCTTATTGGTTGTTAGTAGGGAATGAAGAAAGGCATCCCTGTTGTAGCCACTCTTCAATCCCTACTTGTACAGTTGGTAGCTTCAATGTTTGTCCCCCCCCCCCGTTCTAAATTAACAGCGGCAAGAATTTGCTTGCGAATTGCATTTCAGGAGTGGCAGCGTCGGTACTGTGATTCTGCACGAGTGTACTGGGACCAGTTGCTGCAGCTGCATTTGAAGGGCCGGGCTTAAACAAAGGTTTATAGAGCTTGGGTGCAACCATCAATCCAGGAAAGCAACGAGGACATTTTCCCGCATGATTTCGGAAAAGGATTTGGAGGGCTGTCCAAACCATTGTACCTTCTTGGGTCACCATTACCGTCTCTAAGAGCACCGAAAACCGGGCGGGCCACAAATTTGACAGCTGACAGCCCTCATTGAGGTCAATCCCAGACAACCATTCAACATCTATTAAAGATCAAGTAAGAGAAATCAAATGCTAGTATAATACCCATTGAAATCTTATCTAAGTAAATTAGCCTCTGATTAAGCCCCTCGAAATCTAATCAGCAAGAATTCCTAGAAATCAAGCTGGATTAGCTAGAGTGGCCTCACCGTTAACCCAGCCAAACAACTTTTCATGATTGAGCCCTCCCCCAAATCTTCCACATTTTTGAGGGTCAGAGGGTCTGCTGGACTATCCCTTTGGACTCTGATTGCCTAGCCTATTCGCATAAGCGGTTACATGAAGAAGTCGATGGTGCGGTAGCATCAGATTCCAGATTCCCCAAAGGGGTCCTAAGTACCTAAGGAATATGGACCTGAACCATATTAGCGCTTCCTAGTATAGAAACCCTACATCGTGCTGTATAGATACTCAGGATCCTCTGGGTTTCCATACTTCATAGAGCCTTGATTCCAGATTCCCCTAAAGCCTAAACCCTATGCAAACCTTAACACTTAAACCGTACACCCCAAACCGTAAGCCCTATGCCTGGCCTTTTTTGGATTCCACGCCCCAAAATGTAATGGGTTTAGGGTTTAGGGGTTTAGGGTTGAGGGTCCCATTTGGGTACACCTGAATATTAATAGGTGACGTAAAATAATCTACAACCCAAAGGGGCCCATAATTTTGAGAACAACTCTACTAGTTTTTTGGTCTCACCATTACCCCGGCCTAAGAGCCTTGACATAATTGAGCCTCCCAGATCATGTATACTATTGAGGATCTGATTGCCTAGCCTCTTTTCAATAAGTGGTTCAATCAGTAATCCATTGTTTTGGGTGTCATCATCATATGTAAAGGCCGCTTTTAAAACCAAGAGCTTTCTAGCCTCATCAAATACCTTCCCCCGATTTTGTGGGCGGAAAACATTTTGCTTGACTGGCACCCCCCCAAAATGGAATAGTGGGTCCAGAATAATTCTCTGAAAGCTTCACTTGATCTCGCTCTCCACCTCTGCACTAATCAGGATTCAGCATTATTGGAAGATCTAGCAGTCCCCTTAAACCCTAAAACCTAAACCCCAAACCCTAAAACCTAAACCCTGAACCCTAAACCCTAAACCCCAAACCCTAAACCCTACAACTTAAACCCTAGACCCTAGGGTAGTCCAACATTGCAAGTACAGCAAGGCTAGACTTCGCTTTGCTAGAAGAATCCGTAACGGCGACCTCTATATGAGCTATAGTCAACATCCTTAAAGGAAGTTATATAGGGGCCTATACAGGGGAGTATTACAGAGGTTACGGAGGGGGATACTGGGAGTTTAACTGGGAGTTTAAACTATGGCTCATATTGCTATCATAAACTCTACAAAGCCCCCCGGCGTAACTATTCTGAGACCACCTGAACTCTGAGTCCTAAACCTCAGACCCTCTGTCTTGGACGTCCTCACGCCTCCCGTTTGCTAAACTATCTCAGGTTCTACCGCGAGCGCACTGTCAACTTCTTTAAAGACCGGCACTATTTGCGTGAGGACACAGGGTCTTTTAGGGTTTGCAGTGAGGGATCGATTCAGAGGTTCCAGGCATGTACCTACTCCGGGCCTTCAAGTCTATACACGGTACCTACTTGGGGTTCTTGGAGGCCCAGTTCAAGCTTCAGGTTTAGACAAGTTCTCCGTGGTTGTGTGGTTAGGATTTAGTACTGATTTTCCCCTACTAACAGCCCCACCCAACAACAATGAATGTCCCCCCTAGTATATATAGCTGTACAGAACTGGGAAGGTATTTATGATGAGGCGGTGGGGTTTTGGAATTGGGGCGAGGGGATTATGCGGAGATGAAAAAGTGCTAGCAATTCTAAAAGGGTTTGTCTTTTTAACAAAGCCTACAGGACATATGATTGCCTAACATATGCAACCACAAGCTCAACCCTAACAATCCAAGTGTTCACACAATAGGGTTCTTGGTGTAAAAGCTATCGTATCGAGACTATACTACTTGGTACCTGACTCGCAGCATTTGGGTACGTGGACCCTTAAAGCAACAATCCAAAGTCAGCCTGTGTTGCCCGCTTGAATTTTGTTACTCTCCCCCATACGAGCACGGAACTCCATATAGCTCCTTGCTAAGGGTCTGCGACTTTTATTTATATCCCCCCTCCGAGAATAACCCCCAGAACCCCGCTCAGAACGAAGATATCCTAATAGAGCACGCAAGGGTGACCAATGTTTCGAGGAACCGTTGTTTTATTCCCCCGCCTCTGGGGATTTATTTGAGACCCAAAGGGTCCTAAGTACCTATATAGGGAATATTGGCCTAAGCGATGTTAGCAATTCCAGGTATAGAAGCCTTACATTGTACCATATAGATAGTTAAGCCTATATGCCCCTATATTGCCCTATATAATCCCTATGTTACCCCTTTATAAGCCCTTAGTGCCACATAGATACTTTTGGGCTGCGTGTTCTTTTTTATGCTGTGGGTTTCTTCCTTTATGCTCGGAATATTGTTTTCACATAGTTCGTTCGTTTTGTGCTCCCAGGGCCGGCATGGTTTTTGATTTTGTTCTGTGGTTTCTTTGTTTATGCTGGGGGTGTGTATTCTTATGCTACTGTGTTGTCGGATGTAGTCCACCAGGGCTTTTTCTTATGCTCAGGGTGTTGTTTTTATGCGGAAGGTTCTTTTCTTTATGCTCGGATTGTTGGTTCGGAACTACGGCTATAATGTAAAGACGCATAGGTCATCTGAAACTTCAGACCTTAAACTCAAAAGCATGTATGTTCGTCAGGTCATGGCCTCAGCGTGCGCGGGCGCAAGTCGGATGAAATAATGGCCATATTTATGTACGGGTTAGCTTGTAAGTATAAGTTTTTAAACTTGGCTGTAGTGATGGTAGTGTGATACAAGGCAATGTTCGATGCTGCAGCTTTCAGGGCGTTAGTGTGCATTGTAGGTATGCCGCGAAGCAAATGCTTGTGCGGCAAGTGGGGTAGTGACAGATGTGTCTGTTCCGGCACAAAATTAACAAGCCTCGGCTCCATGGAGCAGAAGACCAAAGGGAGCAAGACTAAATCCGCTAGCTCGGGCAGGACGTCTGACTCACAGCTAGAGCTTTCCTTGAAGCTGCAGTTAGAGAAGGCCAAGGCGGCAACGGCAGTTGCCGAAAAAGAGCTTCTGGAGACCAAGCTGCTAAAGATGACGAAGAAACACGAGGTAAAGAGTTCGTCACCAACACAGCACCCAGTCCAACTCCAATGCAGCCCGAGGTAAAGAGTTCGCCGCCGACGCAGGGATTAGCGCCGACTCCAATTCCAACGCAAGGGGCAGAACCGTCTCAGTCCAGGTGGCAACCATGGCGGTCATGGTCGTATCGAACCTACGGTGGCTATCGCCCGTACAGTGAAGGTTGGCATTCCGCAAGACATGATGGGATGAACTGAACCGGTAAAACAGGCTGCACGAAGGGGGAACGCGATCAAGTAAATAGGCACGCAGCGAGGCACTCTTGTTCACAGCGAGTCAGAGCCAAATCTCGTGGCAGCCTTCGAGGACCTTTGCTGGCTATGCAAAGAAGTTGGTGGCTTCGACTTGAAGTCCCAGTTGGTGCAGGTGCACGCGGACTATGCGCCAGGCATTGCCGCTGCGCGGCGTGCCGTATTCCCTTCAGTACGTTTGTTAGGAGATTAATTTCACTACAAGACCTAGCCAACCTTTTGCTGCATAATTAAAGTCATTTAACCGAAGATTGGCTTTACCAGGACATGGCGGAAATTCAGCGGAATTGCAATTCCTCATCGTGTAGGCACCACGTCTGCGCGGTGGAGATAGCGTTTCTCGTTCTGGTGAAGGTTTTGAAATGACGTTTTCCATTTCCCTCATAGCGCTTCTCGTTCTGGTGAGGGTTTTGAAATGGCGTTTTCCATTTCCCTCATAGCGCTTTTTGTTCTGGAAATAGCGTTTTTGTTTGCCGGGTTGGAGAATCAATTAGACTGTTGGCTGACCTGGCCGGAGAAGCTTCTGGCTTTACTAGGGTAACCGGGTTGGACGTGCTCGCCCTCGCGCAAGGCCTGGCTTGCATGCCAGCCTGGAACCATGTGCGCACGCAGCTGCAAATTCAGCTTGGCTGCCCCAATTTGAAGTGCCATATTTGGAAGCCTGCGCTGTAAAAGACGGACTGTGGCACGTGTGCCCTTGCTTTACCGTGGGCCTGGCCTGTATGGCGATTTGGATTTTCGAAACGGCGTTTTTTTGAAATGGGCGGAAGACCTAAATGGCGGAAATTGGCGGCCAAATGGCGGAAATCGGCGGTGAAATGACGGAAATATCCGGAATGGCACTTTTTCGAATTTCGAAATGTCAATTTTGCATGCCTGAAACTGCTCAAAATCATCTTGCTCAGGCTCCTACGCAGGCTGTGGGGTATCAGAAATCTCCGTTGCTGAGGGTTGTGCCTGGGCTTCAGGTGGACAGCGGCGGCTCTGAGTCCATCTGATAATGTTTCTACAGCCCTACCATGTCCAATCGCGCGTGAAGTCCGCATCTTGAATGGCTATACATGTCACCCAGCTTCCCAGCAATGCTTCAAGCACACATGTTGTTTGCATGTTGATGTCGCCCAGCAAGCAGGAACAAAACGCCGAGTGAGATGCAAGTTTTGCCACTGGAAGTGCCTTTTTTGATCAACGTCATGCCGGTTTTATGGGCCAGCAGCGTACTTCAATGACGATTTTGCCCTTAAGCCTTAAAACCCTCAAAATTCACACATTGCACTTTTCAAATGAAATGCCAATAATTTTTTCAACTCGGGGAAATTCCCCCTTTTTTTTTGCGCGCAAGGGTTGGCTAGGGAAGGAGATCTGTCGTCAGCTGCCTGACAAGCTTCCCAAGCTTACCCAAGGACAACGTCGCACAAAGAAGCTGGACCCAGACGTTGCCAAAATTTGCGAGCTGTCAGACCTCACAAGGCGGTTGTGTTTTTCTTGGAGTCGTTGGGGATACTTCTTTAGGGGCAGAGCATGCGTGCGCAGGTGTTTGCCCACGTTGCAGCTGGCGGACGTGATTTGGCAAGTCATCTTTGAGCACTGTCGCGCAGAGGCATCTACGTACATGCAGCGGGAATTCTCCTCGCAGGCAAGTGTCCAGGATCTCCAACGACTCTTCAAGAAGGTTGGGGAACCAGCACGTGGGGCGAAGAAGCTTTGGGTTCCAAGCTTCTGGGCAGGCATCTTCGGCACGATGCCCGGCATGCAGTGGCGGTGGCACGAACCCATGAGAGGCTCGCCACTCTTCGTGGGACGCAGAACTCACGGGGCGCACGAAGGACGGGCTCCTCTCAGCCATGCAAGGCACGCAGAACCTACCACTCTACAGAGGAGAATGATTACCTGCTGAACAGTGCCACCCTGCGCTCGCAGAAGCGTTCTCCGGCTGTAGACTACTGGAAGGAGCGTCGCCAAGGCAACTACCTGAAGTTCCACATTTGCAACTCGATGGAGGACATAAGAGTATAGCTTAGGGCGCGGGCGTAAGAGTATGAGCTCTGAAACTGATCGAACCAGCTTAAGAGCAAGGCACTGGCACTCCGCGCGGCCCGAACACAGAGGAGTCGGAGTAGACGACCTTCTGGGTCATGGCGTCGCCAAGCGGACCAGTGGACAAGGTCTAAGGTTTAGCAACGCGGTAGAAGTAGTTCTTCTGTGGGGCCATAGGGCGGTGTCTCGTCTCTTTGCGTACTGCCCTGGTTTTGCAGGAGATCGCCCAGAACCTGGTCGCAATGCTGCAGCGCTGCTGGTTAAGACTGGCATCCTTGAGCCCCAGGGAAATGGCCATGTCCTGAGCCCCCGCAACTTTGAAAAAGTACTTCCACGACCACGTCGTGGTGTGTGAAGGCCACTGGGTGAATGCCTACTGGCCCCGAGGACGTCAGGGCAATCACATGTACAATGTACAAAGTACGCACATGCATCAATCACGTTCTCCACGCAGAGTGTGAGCACGAAAAGTATGCAGGCGCTCTGCGCGGGGGACCGCCGAACAACGTGCCGGAGCGGAAGTACACGCGATGAGGTGAGCAAACTAGCATGCATGAATGAGCAATGGGCTTAGCTGGGAAAGGTCGGGAGCCCATTAGGAGATCCTGGAAGGTGCTGAGGGAAGAATGTTGGCAAATTCCTAGGCGTATTCTGACGTTGTCCATGTTGGGGCTTCATTCAGGCGTCATGGGTGGCCACAGTCGCTCCATGATGTTCTTCGTCTTGCGCAGCCCTCATGCAGCTTCCCAACGTGCCGCTCCTTGACGTTCTTTGTCGCTCGCAAGGCTCGAGCAGATTCGGGTTCCTTGACGTTCTTTGTCGCTCTATAATAGGCTCGAGCAGATTCGGGCTCCTTGACGCTCTTTGTCGCTCACAAGGCTCGGGCAGCTTCGGGCTCCTTGACGTTCTTTGTCGCTCGCACGGCTCGGGCAGCTTAAGGCTCCTTGACGTTCTTTGTCGCTCGCAAGGCTCGGGCAGCTTCGGGCTCCTTGATGTTCTTTGTCGCTCGCAAGGCTCGGGCAGCTTAAGGCTTCTTGACGTTCTTTGTCGCTCGCAAGGCTCGGCAGCTTCGGGCTCCTTGATGTTCTTTGTCGCTCGGCTCGGGCAGCTTCGGGTTCCGCGTGGTCCGTGGGACGTCTGAGAAGCCTTAGCAAAGAAAGCTGGAGTATTGAGAACCTCACGAGGTCATGGCACCTTTTGGGAGGTCTTGGGGTCTTGGGGGGTGCTCAGGAAGGTGCGAGGTGTTGTACATTCTTGGGCGTAATATGATGTTTTGGCAGGAGGGATTCATCCGGGCGTGATGCGTGCCATCCATGATGGTCTTCGTCGCTCGAAAGGCTCAGGCAGCGTCGGGCTCAATCCGAACGTCATGCACGCCGGCAGTCGGCAGCCGCTCCTTGCCGTTCTTTGTAGCTCGCAAGGCTCGAGCAGCTTCGCGGCTGTCGAGCCCTCTGCCTAAGACTTAAGGTTCTCAATGGTCAGCATCGCGTTTCCGCTTGCGGACAAACTTCGAGTTCGGCCGCTAGTACAGAACCGCTGCCGGGACATGTCAAGAGCAGGCCTCACAGACATAGGCCTTGCAAAAACAAGTGAGCAGTTTCAAGCCTCAGGGCCTTACAGACACAGCCCTTGAAGTTCCCTGAAGAAGCGTCGCTCTACAGCACAGAACGAAGGCCGCTTTGACCAGAAAAGTACGTTTGTTGAGCTGTGTGAAACGTGCTGGCCAGCACACTCTGCCTAAGACTTTAGGGATCGCATAGGGTGCTTTGGTATATGGATGTATATGGTCAGCATCACGTTTCCGCTTGCGGACAAATTCGAGCTCGGCTCCTAGCATGCGCTACAGAACCGCTGCCAGGACATTTCAAGAGCGGGCCTCACAGACATAGGCCCTGCAAAACCAAGTGAGCAGTTTCAAGCCTCAGGGCCTTACAAACACAGCCCTGAAATTCCTTGAAGAAGCGTCGCTGTGCAGCACAGAACAAGTGCCGCGTTGACAACCAAAGTACGTCTGGTGAGCTTTGTGAAACGTGCTGGCCAGCACACTCGCGTGATGCAAAGTGTACTCTCCGCATGACCCCTTCGCTCAGGTCCTAGCCTCAGCCGCAAGCGTTGAGGGGCTCGGTTGAAATGCTGGGTTTGGGTTTCGCCACTATGGTGAGGTTCTGCTGCCTTTTCCAGGGCATCGGGAAGTCCCGTCTATTTCCCAACAATATTATCGTCTTCCGTTTCAATCGAGAGCCGGCGCATTCAGGTCCTACGGTCCTACCTTCCCAGAGTGAGGGTTCAGGTGTTATTTAGGTCTTAGTTAGGGTGTACCTTTGGAATGCCTGAGTGATTCTGCCGGCAGCCTTCCAGGCTGTGTTCAAACAGGTGTTAAGCTGGTAGGGCTTAGGGATTTCAGGAGAAAAGCGGTCTAAGATTTGTGTTTAACCCTGAACCTTATAAGCCCTAAGTGTTGGGGGCCTGAGTTTTGGGCGGGCGGAGCTGGAGGTGGCATGGCGCTCCTAGTGTCAGAAGTACGTTGACAACTTGCTTAGGAGTTCAGGGCTCTTTGCGGTTCCTTTGAAACATGCCCTTCGTGTAGCTCACAAGCTTCAAAGGTAAAACTTTGAATAGCAGCTCATTATGATAGCAACAGCAAGGCTAGAAGTAGCAGCAGTCATAAGGGTAAGAGCAAGAGTAGCAGCAATCATAAAAGTAAGAGCAAGAGCAAGTTGACAGGATTGCGAATCAGAAGCTGCAGGGTTCATGGGTCTATGGTGCATGGATGCAAATGCCTGATGTTGTTTTAGGGAGGATGTCTGTTGAGGGTTACTTCGTGGGTGCCCCCGCGACCTAAATGGTTGGCGCTGACAATCTTAGCATGAACACCCCCGCATAACAGAAGAAACCACGAGCATAAAACCCAGCACACTGACAAAGACACCATGAGCATAATCCCGAGCACCCGCCCGCCCGGAGCATAAGAAAAAAACACTGACAGCATAACAAAAAACACCTAGCCCGATACTTTTGGGGCAGAGGTGCTTAGCTAAAAGTGAAGTGCAGAGCTTCCTTGGCGATTCGCGAGGAATTCGCTGAAATCATGCCAGCAGAGGTCCTGGCCGATCCCAAGCGCTGGCACCTCAGAATATCCCAGAAGGTTCAGCTGCATGGTATCCAAAACGTCTGAGGAAGCCTGCCTATGTCGGTGCATACCTTTGTGAAAGCTTGGATTGATTCGGCACAACCTTCACACTGAACAGCCCTCCCTTCTTAAGGCTCCTTGTGGCACTCTGTCCATGTAGTTGGGATGCTTTTATTTTGGTGCCAGATCCTGGGACGAACCCATGTTCAGTTTAGCGCGTTCTCGCTCTTATCGTCAGGCTTTTTTTTTTGACGACCTAGCGCCAGTGCCGTGTGTAGGTGTGAGGCCTTCCCTTGAAACAGCTCTGATTCGTGCAATCCGCTCTCGTGAAGACAAAGCCATCATGGCACGACAGCATTTTCGATGTTCAACATAGGCCTAAAGGCTGCTCGTGGATCCAAAGCTCCATGTACATGGACTGTCCGATCTTATCGTATAGGCTTGTGTGATGGGTTCGAGACATAGCGACGGAGTCAACGCGTTTCTTGTTGACCTCTATCCTTAAACTCTATATGTCCACCTAAACCGTAAACCCCGCCTAAATACCGTAAACACGGCATTATTGCAGTTTCTAAGCTCGCTAGGTCTTTCTTGGGGAATTTTGCTGGAGTTTATAGCCACAACAGCAACAGGCAGGACAGTCAGACTCCAGGCTTTTAGGGTTAGGTTCTAGGGGTCAGGGTCAAAACATAGAGCCCAATACATTAAGATCCTTACCATGAGGACCCCACAAAATGGAACCCTAGTGTATGGAAATTCTCTAGAGCAACACCTCATCCTGGATTCGCTCTCATTGTCCATCTTCTTTGCCATTCGATTCTCCTTGCTTGTCACATAACTTGCATCCCGTGCCGTAAGGGTCCAAGTACCCCAATATTCAAATACTTACCCAAAACCTGCACTATAATTACTATTACCCAATACCCAAGTACCTAATTATTGGGTACTTGGACCCTTAGGGGTATATCAGTTATCTGTATAAAGCCCTAGCCCTGAAAGGTGAACCCTATTTGTCTCTATATACCCTTATGAGAAATCCCCCTCAATAGGACTCGTAATCTTGGCTGGGCGGTTCCTAAGCAATCCTGAATCCTTAGGCCCTTTTCGGAGTAAACCTCTAGTATGCGGATTGGGGAATTCCGGATCATTTTGCTGCCGCTGCTGTGTCTGTTTTTCTGTCATTACCAACGGGTTCCATAGCCATTGTTTCTCATGCTTAGTAGGATCACGGATTGGCAACGGTTTACGGAGTTCAAGGGGGCTAGGGTTACTTACGAATTAAAACGGATCCTCACCCCTTGAAGGATTCCGCAGATTACTGATAAAGATTGTCCCACAATTGTTATGAACCACCCCGTCTTGGATAAGTCTACGTCTTGAAAGCCCATCTATGCAGCAACTTTTGCGCGGAGGATGG